CGACTTGTGATAGAAAAAACGGTGCCCAAAATTATTGAGGGACTTACGGCAGCTCGAGTGGAACCACAACCACAAATCTTAGCCAAAGCCGGTCCTTCAAGAGAAGCACAAGCAGATATCAGAGAAGCAAGCCCGGCTGGACCCTCAGCGGCTACTGAACCCTACAAAGCCGTAGTCAGTAAAAGAAGCCGCAGGAGGACCAAAGCAGCTAACAAGGTAGCCAGTAATTTAAATAACCCGATTAAGCCGACCAGTCATGCCTCTCCTGAAGATTCAGCCCAATTACGAAGTAAGCCAAGCACAATGGCAGATATCGTAAAATCTCTGCCATTGAAGCCGGCAGAGATTTCTAACTCTAAACCTACCTACGTCACAATTAGTGGGCCCGGTAAAAGTCCTGTGGAAATCATCAGTGGGCTGCCATCTCCTACTGAAATAGGAGTTAATGCCTCCATAGTACGTGCTACTAAGGGAGGCTCGGTCTTAGTACGGATGGAAGATAACTCCCAAGCGGCGAAAGTTATTGGGTGGCAGGGTCTACGAGAAGTAGGACTAGAGGCCAAGCTTGCACTTAAGAAACGACCTAGGCTTGAAATTAAAGGTGTGCCCAATTCATGGACTGCGGAGGCATTAATTACGCTTTTACGGGTAAAGCTAATTGATAGATCGATCCCAGCTTCGCTCGTAAACGATGGACTTCGGTCTGTTTTTTCTTCTACAGCAAGGAATGGATTAACTAAAAACTGGGTGCTGGAAGTACACCCAACCCTACGATTCCATCTATTAGACATGGCATGCTTGAATGGAGGATGGTGGTCAATGACCTTTGAAGATAACCTCGACGCCCCCCGTTGTACAAAGTGTCAGGACTACGGGCACTCTAAGGCCACATGTCCATCAGATGCACTGGTCTGCATCTGGTGTGCAGGTACTGGTCATTTTCTCAAGGAGTGCCCCAAAAAACTAGCTCAGGCAGGACCGACATGCATCAACTGTGTGAGGGCAAAGGCCCATCCCAGGCACACTAAGCATAAGGCGGGCAGTCGTGATTGTCCTGTGCATTTAAATTGGTCAAAAAAAATGGCGATGAGGACTTCTTATGAGTAAGATCTCCATCCTTCAGCTCAATATGGGCCGCCGGCGTCTAGTTGCGGAAGAGCTACGCGCCCTCTCACAAAGCTACGACATCATGGCAGTCCAGGAACCGAGTTGCTGGGGAAACAAGGTCGCGGGGTTTGGTCTCACATCGAGGGTTATAGCCTTGAGCAGTGGAGAGAGGAGGCCCAGGGCTGCTATTGTGGTTAACAACCCCAACCTCGATGTGATGGATCTGAGGCAGTTTACCATGGCGGATTGTGTTGCTTGTCATATCAGATGGAACCATGTTGCCTTTACGCTGGTCTCATCATATTTACCGGACGGGGGCGATATTGACGAAGACATATCCGCCATGGAGATGATCACGGCTTGCACGAGGAACGTGATCATATGCTCAGATACCAACTCCTGGAACACGGTCTGGGGATCTAATCGAACTAATAGAAGGGGCGCTAAGCTCGGTGAATTTATTGCCCGAAACCATCTAGTGGTTATGAACGATCCCTCTGCTACCCCGACGTTCTCTAGCGCTAGGGGGCAGAGCTGGATTGATGTTACATTGGTATCACCGGTGCTGGCAAACCGCATTATCGATTGGGTCCTCCGATCTGAGACTAGTTCCGACCACCAAGCGATAGCCTTTAGACTGACGGAAAATACAGAAGTTTCTCTCGGGATCGAGAAAGGTTACCTTACTCGAAAAGGAAATTGGAGTGCCTTCCGGTCATTGCTGGAGGGAAAACTGGTCGACGAAGACTGGGATGAGGCGGAAACGGAGCAAACAGATGATCTGGATTACCGAGTGTCCAGGATCACTGATGTCATCCGCGATACCGCTGAAGAATCCCTTCAGCACCGGAAGGCGAGAGCTCGACCTGTCCCATGGTGGACGCCTGCCTTAACCACAATGAAGAGAGAACTCTACAAGGCACGGCGTTCATACCAGAAGTGTACTTGCGAAGAGAGGCGCATTACACTTCATGATGAGTACAAGTCTAAAGCCAGGGCATACCGAAACGAGGTGCGGTTAAGAAAGCGGAAGTCTTGGGACGAATTCATTGTTCAGGAGTCATCTAAGAATCCCTGGGGTGTACCTTACAGAGTGGCCCTTGGTAAGTTTGCTCCACAGCAAGTGATTGCAGCTTTGAAGCGCGGATGTTCCCAGGCAACCACTCTGGAAGAGACTGCAAAGATGTTCCTAGCTGAGACCTACCCCAGAGATGATTCGTCCCAGGATAATGAAGAGGAAATATTTATAAGACGCACTACGGTATGCCCACCTGGTACGGACTTGTGCCCACCGTGGGACATATGGGATCTACGTGCTGCTGTGGATAGGCAAAAGACTGGACGTGCACCTGGGTTAGACTCCATAGACGCAGCAATCCTCAGGAACAGTATCCCCTATATTGAACAGAGACTGTTGACATTGTTCAATGATTGTCTTGACAGGGGATACTTTCCTAAGAGTTGGAAAATTGCTGATGTTAGACTCCTCTACAAGGGAGGAGGCAAGGACAAGCAATTAGCCAAATCTTATAGGCCTATATGCCTCCTCCCTATCATGAGTAAATTATTGGAGACCCTGTTGATGATGAGTCTACGACCAGTCTTCTCTAGGGCTAGCCATCCACGGCAGTACGGATCCACTAAAGGCAGAGGAACCGCAGATGCCCTGCTGAGAGTGCGCCGTGACGTTGAAGAGAAGGCGGAGAAGTATGTCATGCTTATCCTGTTCGACATATCTTCCGCCTTTGATAGCGTCTGGTGGCCGAGCGTACTCCAGCAGTTGCAGAAGTATGAGGCTCCCAGCAACTTATATGATCTTTTAAGGAGCTACCTCCAGGACCGAACATTGAAGATAAAAGGTAGCTTCTTTGAAGTACAAGAGTCGATGGAAAGAGGTTGTCCGCAGGGCTCGGTTCTTGGTCCAGCCCTGTGGAAATTAGTCTTCGATGAGTTGCTGGGGGTACTAGAACAGGAGCGGTTCCCCGCCACGGCCTATGTTGATGATCTGGCCGTTGTAGTGGCCTCAAACAGCAGAGCCAGGTTAAAAGAAGAAGCTGAACGATGTGCCAACCTCGTAGGAGGATGGTGCGAGAGAAAAAAGATGAAGATGGCGGCTGCTAAGACCCAGTCCATTCTTTTAAGAGGTAAGACTGACAGGGCCCACCCTATTACTCTCAGAATAGAAGGAGAAAGGATACGTCCAAGTGAGGCTGTTACATACCTTGGCATAAGAATTGGGAGAAATTTCAACGTTACGCCTCACTTGGACTACATGAAAAGTAGGGTGGCCCTGGCTCTCAATGGACTTAGTCGCATCGGGGGCGCCTTTTGGGGTCTCAGGTACCCAGCCACGTTGACTATTTATAAAGGAGTTATTCTGGGCATCCTGAGATATGCGTCCCCTGCGTGGAGTCATCATCTCTCGCACCAACAAAAGAAAAGGTTGGCAACAATCCAGCGGATGGCTCTGCTGCGGGTCACTAGAGCGTACCGTTCAGTGTCTCATGAGGCGGTACAAGTCTTAGCCGGAACTACTCCTATTGATCTTCTCCTACGAGAAGAATACCTTCGGCATAAGATGAAGAGGGAAGGCTTGGTGGATCTACCGGCGAATCTTCGTGTGAGGATCAGTGAAGACCCTAATGGATGGAAGAGGATTCTTCGAGAGAACACATTAAAGGAATGGAACCAGCGGTGGGTGACGACGCCAAAAGGGGCTACGCTAAGAAAATACTTCCCCACCGTTGGTTCAAGAATGGAACAGACATGGGTTCTCCCGGACTACTGGGTCTCACAGTTCCTCACAGGGCATGGGGGTTTCCGAGCAAAGCTCGTTGAATATGGCAAGAACATCGATCCCCTATGCCCAAGTTGCAGAGTGCCGGAGACCGCCGAGCATATCATCCTAGCCTGTACCGCCTTTGAGGCACTGAGGGCTAAGTTGTTGAGGGAGACGGGGCTCTACGCTCTGACGGAGAGCGATCTCCCTCAACTTATGACAAAGGAAAAATACCCGTATTACAAGGCATTCGTATACGGGTGGAAGGAACTGGTTGGGTCAAACCACTTTTCATTGGGAAGAACAAATGAACCTGTATACGGAAGACCGCCAGAGAGGGAGGAACAGTATGCTGGATAAAAAGAGCAGGCTGTGTGCACAGCTGTAAAAATGTAATTGGTCTGAATGCAGCAGTGAATTGTAACGCATGCGTTGCTACTCACTGCTGCATAACACCCGTATTGCCTTATCGGCAGGGTAGGGTGTAAATAAATAAATAAATGTTCTTGGTGGCTTCCTCCCAGTTCTGTGGGAGTCCTAAGTTTTTCCTAAACACTTCCCCGTTATTTTTGACCAGGTTTTCCCTGTCTATTTTTCTGCTTTTGATACCATTCCTGAAATTATGCTTCTTCGTGAGCAACATCTTAATTTTTATTTGTGACGGGTAGTGATCTGACGTTACGTTCATAGCCTTTCTTACTTTAACGTTCTGGATTTCTCTATAGGATTTACTGGAAATGGCTACGTGATCTCACTGAAATTCCCCAAGATGGTTATTTGGGGAGACCCATGTCTTTTTCTTGCTGGCTTTCGCTTTGAAATATCTTTAAGTCAACTTTTTGACATAGTCCGATTATTCTCTTGCTATTCCTGTTTGTTCTATTGTGTGCCGGGTACTTCCCCACCGTTTTTCTGTATTTCCTTTCTTTGCCTATTTCTGCGTTGAAATAATAGTTATATTATTTAAATATATCATTTTTTTATTTCAAGGACAGGAGTAGGGTATATTGTATTCAAAGGTTTTTATGTGGAACTAGGCCATTTATTTTTCTCTGGGCAAGGAGGGTAGTAGTTTCTCAAAATATCGAATTGATGACTTTCGAACGACTCGTAACTGATTGTCATCCTTCGGTGTTGAAACGTTGTTTACAGGTAGGTTATTGCCTTTTAAAATATCTGAAAATTACACCTTGAACAAATTAAATTTGAAACATTGTCAGAAAATATACTTAATCTTGATATTTATTAGTAAATACCTTTCAAATTCTCTGGGGAATTCCTGACTGAATTAACTTAAATTTTTATTAGCCTACACACGCGTGTCAATTTATGTTTCAATGTATAGCTTATATTATGTAAAGAAAATTTTGTTTGCTCTTCGAAGTTGTGGTACCTTAAATGTATTTCATTGCTTTGCTGCTCTTTCTAGTTTTCACTTTCGGTAGGATTACTAAATAAAAAATGATATTACAATATTCATTTCTTCCTTGAGAATGTTGGTTTTGTGGTGGTGAAATAGTTTTTAAGCTGGAACTGATTGATTATTGTTGGACTTTATGACTACCATGTATATTTGTATTAGGATTGTATTAAAGCTCTTTCTTTTTTCTTTTCTCACCTTTTATTTTTTTCTTTCTCACCTTCCAATCTTTATGTCTTAAATGATCAATGTATGTTTGCTGTTTTCTACTTTTCGGTTTTTCTCAAAACTTGATTCTACCTTCTAAAACAAATTGAAGAAAAAGAAATTATTACTCAAAGGTGAAAATTTGTGTTTATGATTCTAACGCTGTCATTGAATTCAAACTATATAGTTAAAAATACAATTATCCACTCTCCCGGGTACATTTCTAATTACAGAATAATCAATGATTTACATAGTTCATTTGTTCAACAATACATAAACATCAAATTAAACTTTCACTCCTCTACCCAACTTTAATCCAATGCGCTTGAATAATCTATTTTTTTCTCCCTATAATTTGAGAATCTGAAACCTAGAAACATTTTAAATGTTTACTTTTTTTTCAGTTATTTTTATATTTTAATTTAATAGATATATTAAATCATGTAAACTAATATGGTTTGGAAGTTAGTCACAAGTTGCACTTGACCGCAACCCCCAACTTTCCAACCATATTTTCAGTTGTCTATTTCTCTACCATCATGTGAACTAATTTTTTAAGTAATTACAGAATATTTGTTTCTTTATTTCAGTCTCTGGTAAGCTAGAATATTTAAAAATTAATTTATTATTTAGTATTTGTTTCTTTTTTATTGTTTTGTTCTTAATTCAGTTATTGTTATGAGATAGTGAATTTTATTATGATTATGTGATAGTGGATTTTTTCACTATAATGTTATTATAGTGAATTCTTAATATATAATCCTATAAAAGTAATATTTTTAAACCACCATTCTATTATATTCTGTATATTGATAATATTTATTTTTAGAAAGATGGAAAATGAAGTCAAGAAGAAATCAGAGGTAGCTAACTCTATATTAGCCAAATTCCAACAGTTTAATAAAGAAAAGGAAGAAGCATCAAGTCACAAGATTTTAGACTCTAAAGAGAAATATTTTGAACAGTGTAAGTAGGTTTAAATTCTCTTTCCTTATAATTTAACAAGTTTCAGTTGATTTATGTCTAAAATAATTATGTTACATGAAGTTCTAAATATAAATTGTTGGATAAAACCTATGGAAAATCAATTGGTGTTCAGTAGATGGACTGATCGGTACTGCAATTACAGAGAACTTTATATGTGACATTTTTGTATCTAAAGATAATCTCAAACTTAAAGATAATCAAACAAACTACTTCTGCTGTCTCCATGGCTTCATCCTCATTCGTTGTTCCCATTAAGGCCTGATGTAACTTTACCGGTACTAAAATTCTTACTCATATGTTAAATGTCCTAAAGTGCTTTTATGCTAATGTTATACTGGGTCTTGACAATCTTACTCCATATTCAAGCTTAACCTTATCTTTTAATGGTGAAAAGTATGCTCTTGGTGTCAGTAGTCTTACATTCTGCAAGGTAGAACCTAACTCATTGTTTTAACATTTAGCTCCCATTTAGAGGACTATAGAAAGAAAATAAATGATTCAAAGTTGGTGTGATTAAAGAGAACAATTCTTCGTGGAGAACACAAGTGTTTTTGTGAAAGAGAAGCATAGAAAGTTCTTGGTAGTAGACTATGCTTCAATTAAGAATAAATACACATTACTAGATGCTTACTCTTTCTCTTCCTCTTCAAGCCTATTTATGGCTAAGAGTGGCCTCGATCCAGTGCTGTCAGTTTTCTGGGTCACTACTAAGCTGCTTCATTTCTTTAAGGCTCTTACCTCTGTTACCCCCAATCCTCTAGATATTTTCCTGATGAGAGATTCTTGGCTGGCCATGTGGTCTTCTACTTGTAGGTCTAGTTTTCAGTGTCTTGAGCTCTCTGACTTCATCCATTCGACAAACATGTCCAAATCATTTTAACTCTCCATTTTCCATGATTGTCTTCAATAGGGTCACCTCTAATTCTATTGTTTCTAACCAGTCTTATCTTGTCTTTCTTGCTATATACAAAAACTTCGTCTCAGCGCTTGTGATCCAGCTGACATACCTGTTGAGCATCACTTCAGCCATATGTAAGGACTGGTATGTATACAGGGTGCCTGTAAATAGATGGACATGTTTAAAAGGTTGATAAAAGAAACAATTGCCCAATTTCTAGCAGAAAAGTAGAAAATTTAAGATTTGTGGTTTTTTAAGTGTCTTGTTTTTTGTTGAATAGGAGGCGATAACTAAAAATATATTTTATTTAAGTAATTAAACATTACTTCATAGTAAATTAGACAAAATTTAACTTAAACAAAAGTAGATTTTGTCATTATTAAAACTATTTAAAGAGGACTAGTGGGCAGACAAATACAGCTAAGTTAAGTTTAAATAAGGTCATAAATTATTATTATATTACTTTTATCACCCTTCAACTGTACTGCATTTACCCCACTGTTAGAGAAACTTCCTCGTTTAATGAACTTCAAGTCCATATTAAATAAGTTGAGGTTTATTAGGTAAAATTTTGAGATTTTAATTACATCAAGTTCTGTAAAGAAATGATGTAATTTTCTATCTAGTCACCTAAAAGTACCTGTTTTTCAGCAATAATTACTATAATTAACTGTTGCAAAGTTTTTTTTCTTATTCTCCGTGATTAGGATGTATTGCCATTAATCATTATGACTCCTTTGGCATTACTACATGTGGATTTAATTGCCTTTAGTAAACCTGATGGCACATTATTTGCAGCGAGAGCACTCCATATTTCATGTCAGAGCCCAGAATCAAAATCAGCTTTTAGGTCTAGAAAATATAACATTCATAATAATTTAAAGAACGTTTATAACTGCTTTATACTTTATTAACAATATTGAATAGAATACCGAAAATTAATTTTAATAAAAAATATCATTGATTGCTCTTCAGATAAAAGAAAACACTGTGAAGATGTCTTGCATGATGGAATTCCAGAAGAAGACGTTGGTATTACAAAATATGTTTCCAGTAATGCTGGTTTTACTGGAATATTAAAGCATAGGTGAATTTTATCATGCTAAAGTAATTAATTTCAACCTTATTTTCTTTTAAATTATTGTAACCGATTAATATGTTTCTATTTTTAGATTCACAGATTTTCAAGTACATGAAATAGATCCAGATGGTAAATTAGTGGAATTAACCTCAACATCTGTTCCTGAAGTAGTTCCTGAAGGTATTATTATATTACTGGTTTACATTTACCTATGAATGGTTTCTGGGTAATAATGGACATTTTCTTATTGATTAATATTCCTCTTTTATTATTTCTTAAGTTCCACTCTATTAATGATGTTATTATTTTTTTGTTTTTATAATTGAAAATTAATAAAATAATTGCTTCTTTATTTCTGTAATAGTTTTGCGAACCCATGCTTAATATGGGTCCGTGGTGTCCATTCCAGCTATTAAAGGCAGGGCTTGAAATGGGTAAAAAGTTTCAGTATCACTGTTAAAATAAAATTTTTCTCCTAAAAAGTTTCAAAGAAACTGTTAAAATGAAAAAATAATTTTATTCTGGGACTACTGTTCCCTAAGAATAATAACAGAGTTACAAATTTATGGGTCTTAATCTGACAATAATAAAATTACAAACTATTTTACTGTTAATTGTTATTTCAATTATTTTGCGGAAGTTTGAATGTGGAGTAGGTGGTAGAACAGGAGTTGTTTGAAGGAATTTGTGGACGAGAATTGACGCATTGAGGTAGGAAGTGAGTTCCATAAGGAAGCAGCACGAATGACGAAGGATTTACTGAAGGAAGAAATTTTATGGGAAGGGATATGTAAGTCTGTAGTTTGAGACCTGCTATTAAGAGAGTGGATAGAGGAACGTAGAGTTAGGAGTTTCAGGATTTTGGGAGGGTTTTTAGTTCTGAAGACTTGTAAAAGGAAATTACCAAGGAGGAATTGTCGTTGGGAAGTAGGATAAAGCCACTTCAACTCGGTGTACCAGAGTGAAACATGTGAACGAACGCCTGGGGATTCCAATAATTTATCTTATTAAACAGTTCATGAGTCTCTTCAGTCTCATTTCTAGCCTGGCAGATAGCCCTCCATACACCAAACAGCCATAGTCGAAGTGGAGAAATACAAGGAGCTGTCTGGTTTTTAGAGGAATAAAATGATGGAATCTTAGGAGTTGTTTAAGAGCAGTTATGGATTTTCAGATAATCTGCGAGAAACGGTTATTCCAGGAGAGGTTCTGGTCAAAGGTTACTCCTAGGTTTTTGACTGTAGGGAAAAAATGGATGGGACGGTTATTGAGGTTAGTAAGGAAGGGAACTAATAAGATGTCTGGACCCGATGAGAATAGCCTTAGTTTTATCTATATTCAGCTTTAATTCATTTATTTCTGCCCATCTGTTGATGCAGTCGATATCCTCTTGTAGCTTTTGGGCAGCCTCAGGCATCTCAGAAATTGTTAAAAAATTTGCATTAAAGTTTCAACACCTGATTTAAAGCATTGGAGTTGCTACTCAATCAAAGATTAAGTTAGAAAATATGTTGGACCAAACTCCAAAATATAAAATTAGTACTGGCGACTTAAGTGCTGAAATCGGATAAAAAATCTAATTAAGGACAATGATTGAAGCACAGAATCTTGTAAATATGAATATCATGCCATACAGTGCATGATATTCATATTTACAAGACTATTATGAAATGTTTTGGATTTCCTAATCTGTCTAGTTTATAAATCATCTCTTTTATTGATACTATATAATTGCAGAAAAAGTTAACATGGTATTTCTGCTTTATGAATCTCCTTAATACTTTACTGTTTGTAAATTGATTACAGTTTTTTAATTTCTGTCATAGATAATCTGTTTGAAGTTGACAAAAGTATTATTTCTGAAGATATTTGGACAAAAATAGAAGAAACATTGAAATCAGAAAATAATGATCAGATTGTGGAAATTGATGTATGTTCTCATTATTTTAAATATTTAACATTTTTTAATATTTTAATAGCTAACTTTAAACTATGAGTGTTTAAGAAAAAAACATGTCTTGATTGTTTCTCTGACCAATCTGGATTGTATGAATTTTCATTTCATTATTATTATTATTATTATTAATAGCCTAAAGAATAGTTATTATTTATTTACATTTTTGTTGTTTTGGAAGTCTTACACAAAACGATACTTTTGTAGAACCCAGCTAGCAATATGGCGTATATACTGTAGATGAAATTCTAAACATTTCCAAGTATTGCTAAGTTATTTCTATCAACAATTGTTATGTAAGGTTGTGGTCAGTTGCCACCTTGCTAGTTGTGTTCTGTTGAAGTACCCCTAAAAGATGAGTTTTAATGCTGTAGATAATGATTTTTTAATAATATTTATTGTATCTTCAACAGGTCACTAATAAAGATAAAAATGAAAGAACATTGATTCACAAAACATTAAAAGGTGTCTATGGAACAAGTATTTTCAGCAATACTAAATCTAAGGAAGATGTTACTGTTATTCAAGTTGGAAAATCTACCAAGAAGGGTAATACATTAATAATAAAATTCTACTATGAGGAAGTTGAAAAATTATCTAGGTGTAATACCACGTAGGATATTGTGGGTGCATGTGTATTTTTCAATTTTTGTATATAGATCTCAGAGACTAGTAAACTATATGATTTAATAAACTAATGGAATTACAAGGTTTTAATTGTCTATCATTGATATAATACTTAATATGTTTTATTTTGATGGTCTTAATGAGTTTTTGCATTGATAATTATGAAATTCACAAATGTGTTCAGCGTTTCATTCATTCATGTATGGCACAACATCCCGTCACCGAGACTGGGCCTCCTCCAAGAGCCTCCGCCAGTTGGCTCTGTCTTCTGCTGCAGCTCTCCAGTTCCGCACACCAAGCAGGGTTCTCGCATCATAGGCCACGTTGTCCAACCATCTCGTCCTCGGCCTTCCTACCCGTCTTACGAGGTGCAGCTCCTCCATCATTATTTTTTTTGGTATTTCAAGGGTGCTCATTCTGGCCACATGCCCTGCCCACCTTAGTCTGGCCAGTTTAATATACGTGACTACGTCGATGTCTGCATAGAGAGAACTGAGCTCCCTATTTTTTCTTTTCCTCCAGACATCACCCTCCTTTACTGGACCATAAATCCTTCTGAGGACTCCTCGCTCAAAGACACTCAGCTTCATCTCATCCCTTTTGGTCATCGTCCAAGCCTCTGAGCCATATGTCAAAACAGGCCGAACAAGGGTCTTGTATATGATCAGCTTGGTCTTCTTTGAGAGGTACCTACTTCTTAAGTGTCGGCCAAGTCCAAAGACACATCTATTGGCAGCCGTGATCCTTCTTTGTATTTCTTGAGCCATGTCATTCTTGCTATTGATTTCAGACCCAAGGTATATAAAACTTTTCACTCTCTCAAACTTAAAAGAACCTACCTCAAATGAAGAGTTCAGATCAACCTCACCGCCAACTCTCATATACTTAGTTTTCCTCTCGTTGACTTCTAGACCAAGTGGTCTTGCAGCTGCTTCAAGGCTTATAAACGCTTCTCTGAGAGCCCGTTCAGACCTACCTACTATGTCAATATCATCAGCAAAACCAAGAAGCTGTGTCAGGCGATTGAAGATTATATCTTTGGTCTGAATACCGGAGTCTCTTACAGCTTTCTCCTCTGCCAAATTGAACAATAGATAGGCGAGGGCATCCCCTTGCCTAACCCCACTGCTCACTTTAAACTCTTCGGAGTCGTCAGAACCGACGCGTATTCTGCATCTCGAGCTGTCCATGGTCATCTTGATTAGGCGTACGAGCTTCTGAGGGATGCTTAGCTCCTCCAACGCACAGTATAGTTGCGTTCTATCAACGCTGTCGTATGCTGCTTTAAAGTCCAGGAATAAATGGTGGGTGACTACCTTACGCTCCATAGTCTTTTCTAGGATCATCCTCAGAGAGAACAGTTGATCAGTCGTTCAGTTGAACAGTTGAACAGTGTTCAGCGTTTAGCTCAATTAAAATTGCACTTCAAAGACTTTTTGTTACAATCCAATTTTGCCAGAAAATATTTTTTTGTCTAAGTAGAGTGGTAAATAAAAGTTGTATGATGTGTGCACCAGATTTTTTTCTTTTTTCCAGACAGTATATAACTCATTCGTATAGTTTTATTTTATTATTTTTTCCATAGGAATTTCTTTCATATGAGGTTTTGTTAAAGTTAAAATCTGACCTTTGCGGAAGGAGATGTAACATTGATAAAGAGGTCTCTCAGCAGCGGTGGAAAATTATTTTTTTCATGGTATAAAAATGTTGCCTAAGTTTGTAGAACTTAGGGGAGAATATATTAAAACAAAATAATAGCGGTGTTTTCCTTTTTTTTTTTTTTTTTTGTGGGCCAGTAACTTATGAACCGTACTACGTAAAATCTGTTTTTTTGTTTTATTCAATTTATTATTTTCTTTTAATACCATCATTACCATTAGTGAATAATTTAACTAGAAAAAAATGCAAATTCTAATTTGTTTGTAATCATGCCCCAGTATATTTATGAATTTTTAAAAGAAAATCATTCATTTGATTTCAAATAATTTAATCCTATTTTGTAAATCAACTGGTCCAATTTCACACCTATTAGTACAATTTAATTGAAGATAACTGAATTTGAAATTTTAACTTAATATATAATTTTGACTTATACTTTTAAAATTGTTTTGATTCATATATTTGCTTTGCAGATAGAGTATGCTGGCCAAAGAACCTTCCTGAGTTTCTCCATTTTACACTTACTAAATTGAAGATGGACACCACTCATTGTGTTTGCCTGCTTTCCAAAAAACTGAGGTTATTTGCATATACAATCTTTAATAAGACGCTATGGATTTGTCTGAGTTAAATTGATTTTTAATTACTGAAGTTATTAAATCAGGTCCTTTGTATTTTCTTTAATATTTATCAGTTTTTAACTTCCTATCTAGAAAAGAGTTGTTATAAATTTAAATTTTAAGTAACTACATTATGTATGTCATATATTATTAACAAGCCATAAACCCAGTTTAGAAATAAAAGATAATTCAGTTTTATCAGTTAAGATGTTAATTGTTCAGAATATCATTGTTTATTACCAATAGTCCATCTGAACTCATAAATTAAATTTTCATTATCAAAGAAATGTTCAAAGCACATTGTAAACCAGGATATCCAACCATCACTGTTAGTTAACATTGAACTTCTAATAATTGCAATCACTACCCTGGCTACTTATGACTCAGAAAATGCTTAAATTCAAATGCCACAAGAGCCTTCGGTTAACCTTCGAAGTGGAAATAAAAACCTAAAAATAAAAATTCTGAAGAAATAAAAATGTATTCATTACCAGCATACCATAGTTTGATGGTCCAATAGTAAAAACAGATGAGTTGTGAAAATGGGGGTCAATGAATCCTCTGATACTCCTATGTTTTCTGGAGGAATAGGCGGAAGGGAGCAAACTTAGAATGTCACTATTACCAGGCCTTTACTTTTAAAGTACATTGCCAATTGGACCCTCAAATCACAATAAATATTAGTCAATAAACTGGATGAGACCATGGTGGGCAAGCATGTTATAGCATTGCCCATTTCAACATTACTGAGCCTAGTAGCACACTTTTGAATTTAGCCTGGGGAAGTTGAAATTTATTTTGTGCCGGACTCATTGTCAGACATTCTTACAAAGTGCTTAATGTATGAATCTAAATGGGATGAACGGTGAATGGAAACCAGTATTGCAGAGAATTTGTAAACGAGTATAAAGGAAATAATTTATTTTATTTCCTTGAAATATATCAAAAATATATATTTTTTAACGTTAAATCATCTATAGTTAACTTTTTTTTACTATCAAACATTTTTGTATACTTAATAAAGGTAATAATGATCCAGGTGGTTGATAACTAAAATTATAATAAAATTTTATTAATAAATAAAATGTTTTTCTTTTTTAAATATTTTGTTTGCATAATAAAAATACTTTACAGGTTGAAAGCTAACTGCTTTACTTATGCTGGCACAAAAGACCGTCGTGCAATCACAACTCAAAGAATGTGTATAAAAAGAAAAAGAGCTGAAGAGTTAGAACAACTATCAATCAGAGGGATTAAAATTGGGAACTATGAATATAAGTCAAAATCGCTTCGGTTGGGTGAATTGTCTGGTAACAAATTTACCATTACTGTCAGGCAAGTAGATTTACAGAAGTTTCTATAGTTTAGTCCAGTAGTGGATTCAGGATTTAATTTTAGGGAGGTACTTTTTTTTCTTCTTTTCTGTAACAGTATATCTGGAAAAAAAAAAAAATACTACATGAATTGAGGTTCAAGCAATCTTTGAAAGCTGTTCTTTTTTTTTTTATTATTATTATTAGTAGTAGTAGTAGTTCTATTTTATAAATATATTTCACAAAACTATTTACTTTGTTTTTTAATTTTAATCATGATCCATCTTTTATGCAGATTGTGTTGCAACATTTTAAAGTATTTGTGATGGTATTAAAAGAAAAACAATTGAGATTTGATGTCACTCTAAAGGAGGCTATAAGCAAACAGCCCCCAAGCTAGGGATGCCTAAGCTCTCATTGGTCTGACCCAGTATTGCCTGCTTTATTGTTATTTTTTATTTATACTTTACAAATTATTTACATTAATTAAATGCTTATCACATTTATGCAGTAAATAAATTAGAAATAATAAAACGATTTTCCACAACAATATTACAAATTTGGATAGTAAGGTTACTAACAATTGCTAATTTAATTACTTGGTTTCCTGAACCCTAGAATTTCTTCCAAATGATATCCAAGAAACAAACATTAGTTGCAATTTTTTTTGGGAACGAAGCTGGCATTCTGGTATACAGTCCAAATATCTTTCAGAGGATCTTTCGCCCAAATGTGGCCAACTTCTGATATGTATCGTTTGCCATTGTCCATGTCTCCGCTCCATATGTAAGAACTGGGCGAATCAGATTTTTGTACAGAGAAATTTTTGTTTTTCTGGTCATTAATCTGCTTGATAGATGTTGCCTCAATCCAAAGTAACATCTGTCCACCTTTTCCTCAGGATGTCTTGGATGCTGTTCAGCGATCATATACTTGGTCTTATCTTGGTTGACCGCTAGACCAAGTTTGCTTGCTGTTTCCATAAAAGAGAGGAATGCCTCTTCAACTGACTTTTTTGACTCCAATAATATTGATAATTTAGTACAATACCTTCTAGGCTAGCCAATTTTTTCCATCACTTCTTTCAGCCTGCTTGTAATGCCGTCGATCAATGTTTTGGTGAATTCTGGGCTTAGCCTGTTCCACTCTTCGAGGAGTCTATACTAGAAATTTCATGTTTTTTAATTTCTACCTCTAATTTTGCCCACAATTGTTCTATCACAGTAAGATCTGATGACTGTGATACAGTTTTTATAGCTTTAGGGCAGTTATAAAGTAGCCATTCCTTAACTAACGTGGCAGAGTGTGTTCGAGGTCATTATCCTGTTAAGAACTAAATTTGCTTTTTAGCCCCAAATTTTCTCCAATTTCTTTCAAGTTTATTCTCAAAATGTCTATTTAAACACATTTATTCACTATACCATGTGAATACTTCCGCTATAAACTGAAGATTTCCTACACCAGAAGCCGCCATACACCACCACACCAGGAACTGGGTGACGACCGACCGGGAAAAGTCAGGAAATTTTTTTAGTCCATAAATATTTTGTTATAATGGGAAATAAATATACAGTTGATATCGTTTATATTTATGGAAGTTTTTTTCCAAGGAAAAACTTCTAGCTCTTTCTTGTTCTTATTACAGTACTAAACAGGAATATGAATTCAACGCTAGGAGTGGGGAGTGACAGATAATATTGGCAAATGATAGGTACCTATATATTATTTATGAACTTGATTATTTGTTTATTGATAAATATTACAATCTGTCTGAATAAAGGACATTTATTATAGAGTTCTATATATTATTTAAATTTTATTTTGTATTATAGTTTTAGTTAATTCATGTGGCTACAGTGGTGTAATTCATTGGCTTGCAAGCACTCATTCGTTCGACCCATGGTTTATTTACCAGAAATGTCACAGTTGGTGCCATATAGATAATTGCTACACAGTTTATAGTAATAAAGAAACTTAATTACTTATTAGAAACTACATTAATATTAGAATTATCCGTAGCTCACTTTATTTTATGATAGAGAAAATCAGAGCTTTATATCTCAAGTATCAACTTTTTTCTTCTCGCAGTTAAAGAAAATAAAATTAAGGTGATAAAAATAAATTACTATAAGTTGTTTTCTAAAATAAAAATCTTAATCATGTTTAAAAAATGCTTCCCCTAAAATATTATATTTGTTGTTTAAAAGACTGATTTATATTTTTTTACTCAAATTATTTTGTAGTCAACTTTCTTTCATGTATAATAAATAAATTTACTTATTAATTATACATTTTTAATATTTGTGTCCCCAGACATATTAGTCAGTAGATTTTAATTTAACTGTCTGGTACCACTCTGAAGAAACAGAACATAAAACATAATAAGAAAAAGAATATAGAAAATAACATATTGCTAGGATGTTTATTGATTACAATAAATTATTGTTTTCAATGTAATATATATAAATTGAACTATTTATTTATTTGATAATTTATATCAATATCCAGATGTATCATTTTGACAGTGTGCCATTGTATATATATATATATATATATATATATATATATATATATATAGCAATATATATATATAATATATATTATATATATACAAATATATATATATACATACAAACAAATGTTCCTGATTGCAATACTTACCCTTACTATATATTACATTTATAGGTAAGTGAAAGTAAAAATGAGAATCATTCTCCCAAGTTAAAAACAAACTTTCAGAAATAAGATTAGATATATATGTATAATATATCACTGGGAAACTAAATATTTAAGAAACGTTAATTTCTGCAAGTTGTGTGATGCATTCTGCACCAGTTATTGCTTGTTATAAAGATTTTTTATTGGTGAAATATTGTTGTTTATTATTAATTGATATTGATATTGATATAAGTAATGGTTAGATAATATTTCCAAATAATTTAGAATTCATGAAACTTAATAAGCTTAAGCTTACTGAATTCTTCATTGTTTAGTGGTTAGTTAAATTTGTTAATACCAGTTTCAATTAATTAATTGTTAAATTATCTCTCCTGAAATGTGTCCAAGAAGTAGTTTTCCTGTTATTTTCTCTTAAATATGAATTATACAGGATTATTTCATTTCAAAATTCAAGATTTGAATTTCGATACTCAATGTTATAAAGAAATTATTAAAATGATAAAAATTATTAATTTCAGGAATCTAGAAGCTGAGAATAATATCATTGAAGCGGCAATGGACAGTTTGAACAAAAATGGTTTTGTAAATTATTTTGGATTACAGAGGTTTGGCTCCTCTGCTATTGTTCCTACCTTTGCTGTTGGAAAAGCTATACTAATGAGAAATTGGAAATTGGTAAAAATGTGATAAAATAAATATTTGTTGATTTCCTATCAGAATATTGTTTGTTTGTTTTGACATCTAGACGCAAAACATCCAGGTTGTCAGCACCTGGTCAATTAAATAACACTACTTTTATACTATTTAGGTGGTAGGTACAAAAAATAAATAAAACATTAAAAGTAAATAATTACACTTAAAGGTAATAATAAGAACAAATTGATAAATAAATAGAATTTAAAAAATATATATAAATTAAAAACTTAATTGAAATTAATAAATAAATGAACTTTTAAAATAACTTAACTTAAAAAAAAAATAATAATAACAAAAAAATCTGGTGTGCACATCAAACGACTTTCATTTACCACCTTCTTCTGAGCAGAAATAAGTATTTTCAGACAAAGGGGAAGTGAAACTAAAGATTATAGACGTTATATTTATTTACATTTCATTGGGGGTATTTTTATTTATTTAATTACTCTTATATACACAAATTTTAATTTTTATATCGCTGTAATCTTTATAATTAAATATTAAATAATACCAACAATAACATTTATGAAAATCACATGTTTATATGTACATAATATTGTCAGAGTTCATATTATATTAAACTCATGTTACGTATGGATGCCTCTTCTAATCTTTCCGGCGCGCTCGTATTTCTTTGGTTTCTCCATTACAACTATTATCCATTACAATCCCTTACTTCTACTTTAGTTAATTATCAAATTCTTTCATATTTTATACTTTACTATTTTTTATATCAAAGATTAATGTGAAATGGCTAATTACTTCAAATTAAAAAAAATTAAAGGTACTTTATAGGAAGCTAATATTAAAAATTAGCCATTTAAGCCCTGTTAGAGAACATCAATGAGAATAAAACCTACATAATATTAAAAACTGCATAATAATACACTGATATACTCAGTTTAATCGAAATCGTTAGAGCCGTTTTTGAGAAAATCTTAATAATGTGTTTTATCAATTTTATAAAAGGTCACTTCCGGTTAGCCGATTTTGACAAAATGTTGCTGTAACATCGCAGACATATAAAAACCTTAAATACGCAAGTTCAGTTTCGTACGACTTTTCATTTTTTTAGTTAAGCTGTACACATACATACACACACACTCTCCATGTTGTGGGACTTAGTTATTTGGATTCAGCAGACCTCAAAAGGTGTATTTCCATTGAAAACTCAGATACAAAAATTTGACAATCGCAATATTTACCCTTACTATATATCACATTTATAGTTATTTGTACTCAGCAGACCTCAAAACGTGAATTTCCGTTGAAAACTCAGAGTCAAAAATTTGATAATCGCAATACTTACCGTTACTTGAAGGTAAGTGAAGGTAAAAAAATCTGCAAAAGATCATTAGTTATAAACTTGTCATATATGTTTTATTCTGTAGGAACTTCATAACTTTAGTAATGATTTCTTCCTGGTTTGCCAGGGATGCCGATATATTTTGGGGTATTCCAAGTTATTTTAACCTTGCGGTATAAAAAATATAATAATAACATTAAACATTAATTATCTTATAATATATTTTTTTTAAATTTATCCTGTAAATTATTATTTGTGTAATTGACCAAAAACAAAATTAATTTGGAGTTTTGTAATTATGTGTAATAAAAAAGTTGAGTAAAAAAAATAATCCATCTATATGCCATCTGTGGCATTTTTTCAAGATCATTCGGCTGCTATCTTAAAGATTTAGCCGAAAATAAGACAAAAAAGTTTAGGAGATAGTATTAAATGAAATCTAATCAGCATTACAAATTTTGATACAAACAAAAAGACGCTTCCAGTAAAGCAGGCCAACTAAACCTTGTTTTGAAAAACCAAGTCATATTTTTAGCACCTTTTTGGATTTAATTTGCTGAATGATTTTTGTTTCCCTTCTGTTAACTAAAAGCATTCATAAATAAATACATTTTATAAATTCTATGCCTTTATAAGGTGGAAATAAAGAAAAACTTTTAATCAGTTTTTAGTGTTTATTTTATATTTTCGGTTCTAATTTATTTACAGATGTTGGGTTTGTGCCATTTTCTGTAGACTATAAGCCCCTATTTTAATCTTTTATTTATTTAATTCTATCTTTTTACTATACTCATGCCCTTTCTTATAATTATATAATTTTCGTCCTGATTATAACCCACATGGTTGGATCAAAAGTTCGGCATCCATAATAAATAGACTGATATTCCTGATTATTTACCATCTAGTATCCTCAAGGTATATTATTTAATATAAGGTTTATTTTGTAGAAGGATGAGTTACCTCTTTGATGCTCTGTTGATAAAAAACAAAATATTATTCTCATTTAATATATGCTATTTCTAGACTTATGAAAAAAGATATTGTTGAAAAATAATATTAGCCCTTTTCTAGGTTAATATCAATTCTAGTTTTAAATTTAAAAAAAAAAAAAAAAACGAAATAGAATCTATTTTCGGAGATATAAAATATTTTTTTCTGAAAAATAAAGAATGGTATGATTTTTAAAGAAATGATAGTTTTTTTAGAATTCAAATAATGTAGCAATTTGTTCACTTTTTTAGGCTGTTGAACTTATTTTAAAACCAAGAACTGATGAGAAATGTCAGCCATGGATCAGGCAAGCACGTGAAGCTTGGTGGGAAACCCGGGATTCTGGTAAAAGTCTTAAATTTTTGTGCAGAAACCAACATTCTCTTGAGTTTCGAGTTCTAAAGGCCCTTAAACAGAATTCATCTGATTATCATGGAGCTCTTTTAAATGTCAGTATTTTCGATTTGTTTATTATTATTGTTAATAAATTGTAAGTTTGTTATTGTATAGTAAATGCCAAATAATTAATATTTCTATGAAGAATGCTGCAAAGTAAATAATTTTCCCATAAGATCATTTATGTATGAAGGCAAAACTTTGTTTTATCAAATCAAAATTTTTTTAGAAAATCTTAAGCTTTTTTTTTTAGATTCCTAGGAATACACTGATGTTATACTTGCATTCATACCAAAGTCTTGTGTGGAACCAAATAGTTTCTAGGCGAATAGAAAAATTTAAGTTTGAACCTCAAATTGGTGACCTAGTAGTTATTAATACAGATGCAACACATGACGAAGTGCTTAACGAACCTGAAAAAGAAGAAATGACTGAATCCGATGAGGATGGCAACCAAGAAGTTTCGGGTAATAATATATGGAATATTGTTTAGTATACTTCAAAAAATGATCAAATTTAATAAACATATAATTTAACAAGTTAGATACAGTGGATATTTATGCCTATCTCTTATTAATTATCTGATGTCTCATGAAAAGAGAAATGTTTTTTAAAAGTTAAAGATCCTTTGAAAACTGTACATTGAAAAATTGGCCCAATTAGAATACTTCCCTTAACTATATTAAAGATGAAAACAATATAAATAATGTTATTAGTGAATAAAGATAAAATATCACCATATGCTAAAGCACTCAATGTTACTGCTGTTATAATCCTGCATATATTTTGACAATTTCACAGATTTTCTACCCTGATAAAAAATTTTTGCACATATTATTAATATTTGAAATGACAGTCAATGTGTTAATAGACTAACTATAATTGCATGCATATATGTTCCAGAAAAAATTGAAGAGGTTAGAAAGAGACCAATTGTGCAAGCTTTAACAGAAGAAACTGTTTCTAGTGCTTCAATTTATGATATTGTATATCCTTTACCAGGTCATGATGTTGAGTATCCTAAAAATGAAATTGGAAAATGGTATAAAGAAATACTGCAAAAAGATGGTATATCAGAAGAAGATTTAAAAAGCAATAACAAGTAATAATTACTATTTTAAATTCACTTGGCATACGTATTTTGCACAAGTTAACATTTTTTTTTCTCTTTTTAGAATATTTTCATTATATGGAACTTATCGAAAAGCCTTAGACAAAGTTGCAAATCTAGAATGGAAAATAGTTGAACACAATGATTTTGATGAAGATTTGGTTTTATCTGATTTTGACAAGGTAGAAAATAAAGAATTAAAAAAGGAAACAGAAGTTTCAGGTAAAATATTAACTTATTACATAAATTAAGTTATTTAAGAACTGTATAATCTTGTTATAGACAAAAAATAGTAAGTGCAGAAGTTTGAATTTCAATTTCACAATTTTAAGCTGTAAACAGGTAACAATGGTTGAAATTTCCAAAAAGAGTTCTTTTTTAATAGATTTTTTACATTATTATTATTGCTACAATTAGCCCTATGTTACATTAATTAGGATTTAGATGATGTTCTTAACCTTTTTAATTGGTGAGCCTAGTGATTTTTGTCAAGCACACTTAAAAATGAAAGTTAGTCAATAAATTTTGTGGAGAGAAATGAGTTATTTTAAATAATATGAATCCTTCATTAAAAGTAATGTGCATTGTAATAAACTAATTTAGAATTTGGTCTTTGACAATGGAGTCACTAAGTATAACTGCACTAAACGTAACAAGAACTCAATGCCAGCAGTTTTTCTGTACAATGCCCCTCGAGAATAAATAGCCAGCTTTAGCCTTACTCACTTGGTACTATGTGAATAAATATTTTATTTATAAGGTTACATAATACAAAAAAAGCAATCGTATAAAAAGCCTACAAAGACAATGGCAATAAGCCATCTGTCGAGTTGTTCAATTGCACACCTTTACTTAATTCCACTCATGTCCAGCTTTATTAGATTTGATTGCAGTGTATTCAATAGAATTACATATATCCATTGCCATTACAATATATATTGATATTATAACATATAATTTTGCTCCAGTTTAGTAAATGAAATGCTCAATTAGAAAATTTTTGTTTTACTATTGGGTTGTCTGAATAATAATGGGAGATTTTGAGTTTTCTTTAAAATAGCCCTATATATAACAGATTGTTTACATTCACTGGATTATTCATTTGTATGAATGTCAACACTTACATAAATCCTCTTCTAAACGATAGTTTTTGTTTACCTGTGTGTCATTTCGCTGCTTAAAAATAACTCAGTCTTTACAGTTTTATGTCAACGCGTGATTTTCGTATAATTTTGTTTGACGAGTATAAATTCGGGTGGAATGGGACCCAGATGGCCAGAAATATCAATCAAGTCAGGGACGAGAGCATCATTAATGAGTGCACTGTTCAACGGTGGTTCAAAAAATTTTGTGAAGTTTATGCTACCCATCTTTGCAGAAACAAAACGATCTTTTTTTGTCATGAATTGTTACTTATGATGAAAACTGAATACTTTATGATAACATTAGACATTCTGAACAGTGGCTCGACAAAGAAGAAGAAGTAGAACATTTTCCAAAGGCCTCATGGGCTGATCAAAAAAAGGTGATGGTTACTGTTTGGTGGGATTAATATGGTTTGATACACTACAGCTTCTTGAATCCAGGAGGAACCATCTTGTTGCATGACAACGCCCGGCCACATGTCTCGTATGTGATGTCACAAAAACTATTGGAGGAAAAAGGGAATTAGAAAATGCGTATTTGGAGTTTATCAATTCTAAAGATGGGAAATTCTATTCTGAGGGAATGGAAAAGTTTCCAATACGTTTGCAGAAATGTATTGATAGTAGTGGAGTCTATTTTGATTAAATAAAACAGTTGTAAATCTTTCTTTTTAAACCATAATTCAACATTATTTTCGAGACAACCCAATATTTTATGTAAATATATAGTAAGTTTCATCCAATCTGAACTGTTTAATATACTCGTATATATCATTTATCCTAAACACCCTTTTCTAAACTCCTTCAAAATAGGAGAAGTGGTAGTTATCCTCTGACACATTTAATTTACAAATGGCACGTAAATATCCTACACTCCTCCATGGTTGATAATCGAGTCCAAGCAGTTAATCTCTTACTATGAACTGTTGTGAATGTAGTGTTTTGACTTATTAATACCCCCTTTTCTCCTGCTCAGCATAATCTGAGATTCATTGAGGTTTGATTTAAGATTTCATTTCTCTCATTACACTTTAGATCTCTCACCAATAATGTAAGGAAGTCGGTGAAAAGGCTATGTCCTCTTCTAATAGCAAGTTTTTATTTTCTGGTTGTTTATGAGAAAACCATCCTTCCCCCACCTCAATTCATCTTCCAGATCATTTATGAGCATTCTAGTTGTACCCTCCCCTCTCCCTCCCATTTTAAAAACAAATGCAGTTTATTTTCACATTTGACTCTTTATAATAACTTATTAATATTATAATAACTTTTGTTGAGATGCTTTGTAGAGTAAATTATAAAATAAAGCAGTTCTATCTGTGCTATCAGATACCGCTGGGAAGTGTGTACTCTTTCACATTTATGCACATTATAGTTAAATTCTATATTGATTATATTATATAAGTTAAATATGTTACCTTATACATATTTATGTTTTAGAGCTTTCGTTGCTCTGCACCATATTCATTTTTACAATGCTCGTTCCATCCATTTTTGGATTTCGTTCTTTGAATACATTTTATCAATCATTGTAGATTGGTGTCTTAATTTAGAAACAAGTTTATTTGGGCTTTTCTATTATAGGAGGAGAGAGGAACCCTATTGCACTTTTCTGTGGCTGCTTCTATGTCTTCATCATCCAGTGGCTCGGCAATTTTAGAGAAGTCGTCCTCTTCTCTGGCTATTTCTCCTTCAAAGTTCTCTCTTTGAAGCTCACCGCTGAAGTGCCTTGCCCATCTCTTTAGAATTTCCCCTCTCTCCGTCAACAGGTTCCCATCCTCATTCTTGCACGTAGTCACTTTTGGCTTGAAGGCATTGCGGCCCTCATTCACTTTCTGAAAGAAGAGGTGAGTGTCACGATATGTCCTGCAGTTTTCTACGTTCTTCATCTTTGCAGTTCTCTCATGCTCTCTTCTTTCTTCTGTACAATCTCTTTTTCTCTCTTCTTTTATTTTGGTTTGACGTGTATGGAGCTGAATAGCCTTCTTATACGCTTCAAACCAAGGATTTTCTTTGCAGTAGTTTTCAGCGCTTTTGAAATTCCCGAGCACTGGTCATCCACTGTGTCATTTCTATTCCTTAGTGCCTCCTCCAGCTTAATTTCAAGGTGTTGGTAATAGGTTTCACACATTTCAGGTTCCTTCAGTTAATGAACATTGAATTTCTTCACAGTTTCTCCAATATCCGAGTTCCGTTTCATGGTAATCCGAGCACATATATGGGAAATACTGAGGTTGTGATCCGGATCCACATTTGCTCCTCCATATGTTCTCACTCCAACAAATTGTACCTGTGACAAGAGCTGATTAAGATGTGGTCGATCGGCTGGTAAACGCTCCATTAGGTGATCTCCAGTTAGCTTTGTGTATATTTTTGCCTGGGAACATGGTACTTCCGACCACTCTGTGAGTGTTCGGTAAGTCAATCATTCTTTGGCAATTTGCATTTGTGTTCTGAAGAAGACGAAGGTTCCAATTGTTGGTAGGTGTATTCTTTCCATGCCTATCTGTGCTTTCAAATCTCCTAGAACTATTTTAGTATCACATGCTGGACAAATCTTGAGGGCTTTAGAAAGGTCTTCGTAAAACGTGTCCTCTTCTTCAGATGACACTTCATTAGGCTGATACTTTCTTAATTAAATCCATGATTATTTGAAAAATTCCCCACAGAACAAAAAATCATTAAAATTGGGTCATTATTAACAAAGATACAGCTTATAGTAATGCCCACATGTTTTGTTTATTATTTCAGAAAAAATAATGTGATTTGACTGATAAAAATAAAATTATTCTATCATAATACATATCAATAACTTATTTTTATATTATTTGTCAGTTGTCAGCTGACCAACTAGTTCAAATTTAATTAACTAAATAAAATATGCTGCTTGACCTCACTAAATATTTATTGAAAAAATTGAAGGATTTTTTTCTTTTAATTTCCTATTTATAGCAGGAAATAGTTCAAGGTCATGGTTCCAGGTCTGGTTTGGCTGTTGCTGAATATGTTCAAGCTTCTGATTTTATATTTGTTTAATCTCAAAAATAGATATTCAATAATCTTCAAATTGCTATGAGAATTACTCTAAGCCTGAAGTAGAATTTGTTTAAATAATTAAGTGATATTGTATTTACTACCAAAAGTCATATTTGATATTTATATATATAATATAATATAACTGTGATATGAATTTTAAATATATTTTATGTTAGTAAATTATATTAATTTTTAACAGATGCTAAGATAAAATCATTGATCATGAGCATAACTCTACCACCCTCAACTTATGCTACCATGGTATTAAGAGAGGTTATGAAGACAAACACTTCAGTCAGTTTTCATGCTTCACTTACTAAGAATGTCCAGGAAGCCAAAAGACTGAAAACTTCTACTGAATCTTCTAAAGAAGATAATTATCCTAATGGATATGCATAAGAAATATGTTTATTTACTTTTATATAAAATATATTTATTGTTTTGGGTAAATTAAATTATTTCTTATATCTTAAATTTCTTTATAGATCCTTTATACTGTATACAATTTAAGCAACTCAAACTCCATATTTATGGAAAAATTAATTATTAGTGGGAAACACTCTAATATTGTAAGAATGCGCAAAGGCCACTTGCTTGGACTTGGAAGACACATTTTTTACCTTTTTCCTGTAAAATGTGGTTTGGCGTGTTTTTAGTACTAAGTTTTTTTCAAACTTTAGGTTCAGTATATTTTTACAACTATGGTTATTTGAGTCATTGAGCTACTTACTAAACTACTTTTATTTTATTTTATCGCACTTCAAATGCATATAGCTATTCCTATTTTTTTAGATAAACAATCAATATTTTTTCATCAACAAGTTCTTAAGTTACTTTGGAATGGGTAATTTGAGTATTCAAGGTTCAGGTAGCTTTCTTTGTATACTATCTTGTCCTGAATTACCACAATTTTGATAATGTATTGATGTAAGGAGAACTTCTATTACTCTGTACTCAAAGCCTGCTGTAGATGGTTAGTGAGAATGGCACCCTTATAAAATATTGCCTGTTCCATTGTCAAAAAAAAATGTTTGGATTGGATATTATAAGGTCTTCAAAATGTTAGCTGATCTGGTTTATACATGTGTAGCAATTGTTAGACACCAACTATCAAGGAAGAATCATAAATAGAGATTCCATTTTATTCACTTGCGTGTAAAAACTCCAGACCCGAATATCTGTGTCCGTTTCAGGATCTGACATATTTAAATTTTATATTGTATGAAATTTTGCTGTTTTAGCTTAAACTGGACGATTTTGACTTTAGCTACATTAAATTGCACATTTTTGGTCTTTTGTGATAAATTAGATGATTACCTTTTTATTTTCCTATATTGTTAAAATTAAATTCATTATTCAAGATAGAAAAACATGAGGGAGGTAAATTACTCTTAGCAATTAATTAACAAGCAAAAATCGAATTTAACATTACAAAAGGAAGAAGTTAACTCAAGTGAGAAATATTCTTGTAATAGAACTTCGTTAAAGTATTAGGTAATAAAAAGCTGCTTTCCTAGAATAAGCTGTTTGGTTAGTAAGTCATTTATTGTAATGGTTTTGACTTGAATTCTAACTCATAGCTTCAGCCCTTCAGGATCCCTTCTGGCGTTGAATTGATTTGTGATTTGTAGCATTATTAAAAATAATAATGCTGAAAGTAAAATCTAGTCTCTCCTCAAAAATTAAAATTGGATATAAAATATCCCGAGTTGAAATTTGATAACAAAGTTCTGTAAACCTTAAGGAAAATCAATTGGGTATGATAGGAAATCACTTCTTTGATGATTTAGAAAAAAAAAAAAAAAAACAGCTTCAACACTGATATTTGAACACATGAAAACATCAAATATTACAGTGTATTCCTAAAGTTTCTTAAATTTGTTGGTACTAGTTCTGAAGCACTACACTCAGCCATCATGGTTGATGGCAGATTATCCACAATGTTTCAGATAAGGTTTACAACAGATAGCACTAGGTAGCGCTACTATTGCGGAGGAGTAGTTTTTTCAGCCTTGACCCCTCCACCTTACGTTCATTAAGAATAATTATCAAAATACAACATTTAGGGTATATATTCCGAGACTTTTTTTTTTTATCTTTCCGACTTTTTCGTCCCTTCAGTACTCCAATTAAGCAAACTTTGGATTTTCAATGTTATAGACAGATATTAACTCAATCAATTGACTTCAAGATTTATCATTATTAATACTTTTCATTTTTATTATCCTAAATTAAAGAACTTGATTAACTTAAGTTTTGTTTTAATTGTAACACTTAATCTGTAATTCATAATTGGTAAATGGTTGACTGTCATGAATAATGGAGAGAAGAATAATTGGGGTGATCAGTCAAATAAGAAGGCAAAATAAATGATACTATTTATTTTGACTATCAATAAATCAAAATAAATTGTATCATTTATTTTGCCTTCTTATTTGACTGATCACCCCAACTATTCTTCTCTCCATTAATCTGTAATTGTATTATTTCTTAGAAGAAAGTTAAAACATTTTCAATGTTTGTTTCCCACCAATGATAGTCACAAACCGCTGTACTTTTTCGGATTAGTATCCACAATAACTAGGAATAAAAATACTTAGGAAGCTATGAATTTAATTAAAATCAAAGGAGATTAATTAAAACATATGATGCAAAAATTTAAAATATTTTTATAAAACTGTATGATACTACAAAAATTATAAATGAAATCCTAACACATTACCTATGTCCAATAGTATTTGATTGATAGAATACACATAAAAATCATACGCATAAATAATATTATATATAATTACTTTAATGAAAAAAAAAAAAAAAATGAAGTAGTAGATGAAGCACAGTAGTGTGTCTCGTTCACTTCCATATTGGTGCCCGCAAAAGAAGAGGAAAAGCGCCAGGAAGACCTCCAGATTCTGGAAGCTAGGCCAAAACAAGAAGAAGATAGACAGAAGAACTGTCAGAATTCTGCACATCCTTGCTTATGTTAACTAGTAATAGTGTTTTATTAATTATTTGTGCCTAATAACACACTATTGCAAACACCCCTATTACCATTGTGGCATGGGAAGGTGGAATAAATAAATAAAATAAAGCAAGCGTAATTGTTTATGATCTGCAATTTTTCTAATTCTACCATCGCTTATTCTGTTTTTAAGAAAATATGAGTGATAAAATATATTGGGAGTGGGAGGAGTGGAGAGAGAGTAAGGATCGACCTTGGGGTGGATGGGCACCCCTGTACTGTGATATATATCTTTGCAGTTAAAACATGCTATGACTGTTTATTCCCATCATCATCGTTAATTTTTCACCTAATCTCAAGATTGAGCCACCAATTTCGAAGGCTTTCTTCTCCTTCAGGTAGGCAAAATAGTCCAATCACCCCGAAAATTCAGGCAAACAAGTTATGAAAGAAAAAAAACTTTATTTGCTAATAACTAAAAAATTACACACTTTTCCATTGGTTATGCCCATGATTATATAAAAGATTACTAAATTCCCTACAAAATCATTGAAATCAGACAATATTTAGCAAAGATACAGCTTACTGAAATTTGTGTACATGTTGGTTCCAAACAGAAATGAAGATTATATTAATTTTGTTTTTCTTTGTTGATTATATTTATTGATAAAGGAACATTTGATTTATTTATCTTTTGATATGTTGCATTATTTTATTTGCTTATTAATTTAGCATTTGATAACAATATGCTGTGCGAATTTTTCGCATGGGCCTACTAGTTAATTATTAATTTGCATAATGAACACGGTCATAGGTGCCCAGAGGGGGTTGTATGGAGCAAGTTGCACCATCAGAATTTTTGGGAGGAGGCACATTATGATTTCAATTTTAAGAGAGCTTTTTACTGTTTAGAAAATAAAGAAAAAAAAGGGCATTCTGGGGCTTACGTGTATATAAAAAAATATTTAAAAGCGCTGCATATTTGAAAGAGATGCAGATATGACTTTATTTTAAGTAAACAAGCGGGGCATTGTCTTCCGTACTTCCAGTTTCAGCATTGATTCAAAGGGCACCGCTTGTTTGAAATATCGGTATGCAGTGTCTTCATTGAGCGTATATAATAAACTCCCTCAATTACACATCTAAATGAACTCTGCTCGGATCATAGACCTCTAACTCTCCAAGTTTTACTAGCTCCCATTCCCAAACCTTTTATAGTGTTTTTCATTAGAAGTCTGGTTAGCTGAAACCTTTTTCGTCAAATCCTTTCTGACAAAAATGACTTTAGGTATTATTTACAAGTATTATCCAACAAGCTTTCTGGACTGCCTCCTTCCCAATGGAGTCCTCCATAATTCTTGATGAAAATAATTCACCTTGACATCTCCCGGCACTGACGCATTATAACGCCGGGCCAGACATCCCGCCGAACGTAGCTCCTACAACTATTACTGCAAACAATTAAAGCTGAAATTAGCTATCTATAAATTCCAATCCTTAATTCCTACCTGGCCTCCCATTCTGACCGTCACAATTCCCTGTGTAATATCAATAAAAAAATTCTAAAACAGTGTTGGGCATTTACTCGAGTAAATGTCGAGCAGTGACGTCACGAGTGATCACTCTTGGAAGCTGAGCCATGAGTAATTTTGAAAATTACTCGTGAAATATTTTTCCTTCATGAGTAAATCACTCGTGAAAAATGTTATCTCCATGAGTAAATTACTCATGAAAAATTTTAACGCCATGAGTAATTTTGAAAAAAAAATGTTTTTATTTTATTTAACCTAATTTTTTTTTTCACCTTTCCGATTTATTCAATATCGAGGTCGACATATATGTTTCGGGGGGCGCTTTTTATGAAAATGATATCCAATTTGAGATTGGGCCCCCCCGCCCCCGTTTTTTTTTAACTTTTGGGATTAAATCGATATCAGGGTCGACTTATAGGTTTTGGGGGGCGCTTTTTATGAAAATGATATCCAATTTGAGATTGGGCCCCCCGCCCCCGTTTTTTTTTAACTTTTGGGATTAAATCGATATCAGGGTCGACTTATAGGTTTCGGGGGGCGCTTTTTATGAAAATGATATCCAATTTGAGATTGGGCCCCCCCGCCCCCGTTTTTTTTTAACTTTTGGGATTAAATCGATATCAGGGTCGACTTATAGGTTTTGGGGGGCGCTTTTTATGAAAATGATATCCAATTTGAGATTGGGCCCCCCCGCCCCCGTTTTTTTTTAACTTTTGGGATTAAATCGATATCAGGGTCGACTTATAGGTTTCGGGGGGCGCTTTTTATGAAAATGATATCCAATTTGAGATTGGGCCCCCCCGCCCCCGTTTTTTTTAACTTTTGGGATTAAATCGATATCAGGGTCGACTTATAGGTTTTGGGGGGCGCTTTTTATGAAAATGATATCCAATTTGAGATTGGGCCCCCCCGCCCCGTTTTTTTTTAACTTTTGGGATTAAATCGATATCAGGGTCGA